GAAAGCGCTGCCCCTTCTGCTCCTAAGGGTTGAGAGAGTGGAGGAGAGCTGTGCCGCTGGGCTCGCTCCTCTCCGCCGTCGGGTGAGCCCAGCTGCTGCCTCTCCCCGCCGGAGGTGGGCAGGGGGCAGGCAGGGGGGGGCAGCGGCCCCCGGGCGGGGCTGGAGCGTGCGAGACGCTGGAGTTGAGCAGAATGGGCCCAGCCTCGGCCAACACCCCAGCGCATCCCAGAGCTTGGCACTGGTAGCGCTGGAGCAGGACGAACAGCCAAGGGCCCCCCCCTCCCCCAAAGTCACCCGTGTTCCTCTCTGTGCACCGCAGGTGGAGAACATGCTGTTCCCCAAACTCATCTCCTTGAACTCGCCTCACTTTGACTTCACGGGCTGTAACTTCTCAGAGAAGAACATGTACGCCAAAGACAAGCGGGACGGGCAGTCGAAGGAGGGCAGCGGGCGCGTGGCCGTCTACAAAGCCTTGGGGATCATCCACAGGTAGGCAGGCCTCTGCTCGCCCGCTGAACGTCCGTGCCAGCTGATCTGGCCCAGCCCTCCTCCGTCCTGGAAAAGGGGGTGGCCTTGCTGGACGCGGGTCGTTAAGGAAAGTTGAAACCACTTCTGTGGGGGCAGCTGTGTCCTGCACGGCTCTCCGGAGGGGTTGGGACTTGCCTGTTGTCTGAACCGGCCGAGGAGGGTGTTACGTGCTCGGTGGAGTGCAGGCAGAGGCCGGGACCCGGCCGTGCCAGGCACCGCCGCGTTCCTGACCTGCAGGCGTTGTCCTGCTTCACAGCCCGGCTCCTTTTCCTCTGTGCCTCCTTGTCCCTTCGCATCCCTCCTGCGGCTGCTCTGGCTTCTTGTCCTAGCCGTTGTGGAGCTGCTTGCGCGCTGCTTCCCAGAAGGAATTCTCCTCTTTCCCAGATGTTTATATTTGTATTGAGCTGTAATTAAAACCTCTTTAGTTGTAACGGGCTCAGCTTCCCCAGACCTCGCATGCGAGGCTGCCGTGCAAGATCCCAGCCTCGACCAATCCGTAATTCTGCGAGTTGAGGATATTCGTGTGACCCGTAGCAGCCGCATGCCTCTCTCCAGCGACGGATGGGATGTTTTTGGCCTGTGTCTGTTGCGGTTGCTGGGAACATAAGAATGGCTGAACCAATCAGACCAACAGCCTGCCTTACCCTGTTTGGCCCCGGTGGTGGCCAGTCGCAGACGCCGAGGGAGGAGTACAAGAAGCGTGTAATGCTGCTTTAGCAGAGGCCGCGTTCCCCGGGAATCTGCGGTTTGAGGAAACGTGGCAGTAGTGCCAGGCTTCCTACCCGCCCTGGACTTCCCCCAGAAACCCCCGCGCCCCTTCTCCTGTGAAGAGCTGCTCTCTGCGGGTGCGGTTTCATCGCTGGCGTGGGACCAGGCTGCCAGCAGAGATGGTGGCTCCCTCGGCTCCTTTCTTTCCCCCCGTTTCCTCAGCACTTGCCGCGCGCTCTGCTGCTTCTCTGCGCCTGGCCGCAGGCTGGGTCAGGGGAGCGTGCTGATCCAGCTAAAACCAACCCTGCAGTGACAAACACACGGGTTTTTTAGGCTCGGGTTGCTTAGGCTTAGCTTGCTCTGTGCCCGTTCGCTGGAGCTGGCAGGGAACGGCCCACGGTTAATCCAACAGAGGCCTCTCGGTCCGTCCCTGGATGGTCTTTTTTTAGCAACAGATGCAACGTTTGCCTTTCTCCGCCCATCAGGGACCCCCACGCACACTCCCCGTCACCTTCTGGAGCCCCACGAGGACCTCGGCACCTTTGGGTGCTGCCCCTCGGGGCCGGTGGGCTCACGTGGGTCGTGTTTCTCAGGGGATCCCCAGCTTGATTACCCTCCGTTTCTGGTGGTTTTCTTCCTGGGGCCCCGTCTCCAGGCAGAGCGATCCTCCCGCCCCACCCCCTGCTTTCTGCAGTGGGGCTCCGTCAGGAGTTCCCCATCCGCCAGCCGATCTCCCGGTACGTCTGTCCGTCTCCCCGAGCACCGGGACGGACCGTTCCTGCAATCGGAGGATGCTGTCCTGAAAAACCTGCCGCCTTTCCTAGGCTGCTGTTGTCCTTCAGAGCTGTCTCCAACAGGACACCCCCCTTACTGGTGCCCTGAATTAGCCGAAATCTGCTCTTATGAGGCCCAGGGTCTGTGCTCTGCTGCTCTCCTCGGCTCAGGATCACGAAGTCCGTTATTTCGTGGTCACTACAGACAAGGCTGACGTATATTATCACATCCCCAGCTAACAAGTTCCTCCTTGTCCGTGATCCAGCTGTGCACCACCCCTGGGTGGCCCATCCAGCACCCGTACACCCATATCGGGAAGTTATTCCCCAACGCCCTCCAGAAACCTGGAGGACTCCAGGACTTTCCGGGAATAGAAGCAGTATTTAATGGATGTTTCTGGCGAGGTTTTTTTTTTTTTCTTTCTCATCGCTGCTGAGCGCGGGTGAATTTCTAGCACCCATCGCATTGTGCAGCAGAGATGCGCAGAGTAACCAGGAGCCACGCGCAGGCGTTCATCGCGTATCTTAAAAGCCGTTAGGTGTTTTTCCCACCTTGAAAACGCTGAGGGTGAAAGCTTGGAATAAAGAACACAGTAAGACAGCAAACGGAGAACCCGCAAAAAGGGGAGACCCCCGCTTAGCGTCCCCCGGGTCAGTTTACAAAACTCGGTGCCCACCGGGACCCCCAGCGCCGTCTCCGCGGAGCTGCTCTCCCCCGGCCGGCCCCAGGCTGCGCGGCTGCGGGGTTGTTCTTCCCCCGCAGCAGGACTTCGCCTTTCCCCGCGGGAGCCTGGGGAGGTCCCTGCCAAGGGCAGCGTGACCCTCTGGAGCATCGCCCCCCCAGCTTTGCATCCTCCGCAGCCTCGCTGGGGGCAGGCGCTGCCTTGGCACCTCGGGCACCGGCACGAATCTAAAACGTAGTCTCGTACTAGCTACTCTGAAGAAAATTAACTCTGCCCCAGCCAAAACCAGCACACCGGGGCACGCCGGCAGGGCCGGGGCTCCAGCCGGGCTCCGTGCCGTCACAGCCTGGCGGCACACCAGCCAGCGTTCAGGCCACCTCCCCGTCCCCCGCCATCGCCTGTCCTTCGTC